CCAAATTTAAAAAAAAATGTGAACATACTGCTTCATTTTGACAGGAGAAGTTCAAATCTGAGATGTCTTAATTTCTCCTGGTAGCTAGCGATATTTTGTGCAAAGCATCCAAAGAAAAAGTAATTGAAAATGCATCATTGCCTCTGTTTGGAGTAATTCATGCATGAACAGGACATGTGCCTAGTCGAGTGTAGAATGTAGTGAAAAATGGGGTGGCATGCACTTTGTGTGACTTGCTTCTGAGAGGATATGATTTGGGAGGGAGGAGGGCATGCAAGACCTTCCGCAAGAAAGACATGTGCTAAGGCTTATGTTGACGCGTCCCATCTTCGGTAGCAGTTGTGCACCACGAATACTGGTGCACGGGCCACCCGGCAGTTCCGGTGTCTTTTTGAGATTTCCCAGACAATGGGCGGGATTTCTGTGATCCGCTTACACTGCTTTTTGGAGCATTGTGGGCCTTGCTGCTTCATTGTTCCTCGCGCAGATGTGCTCGAGCTGGGAATTTCGTTAGGTGAAATCTGTTTGCCTTCCGTTGGCACCCATGGTACAGCTGCAGCGTCATGCCGCTGTCCGTTAATTAGCAATTATTAAGAATTGATTTAACAACGCGAAATAGTACTAGTTTCTAAGACTCGTTCATGGGTTTGGTGGAAGGGAGTGGCGAAAACCACAGTCGAACATATGGTTTTTATGCGTTTTTGCATATATGCAAATTGCGAAAACGCATATTGGGAAGAGGTGTGTGGTTGTGTGTATATTTGTCTGTGTGTTCGCAACTTTTGTCACCCACTTCCAACTCGAGAACCAGAAAAGCTAGGAAGCTGAAAATTTGGGGATATGTGCCCATACCATGCGCGACCCTTCCGTTTTAATTTCATTCTCCGCGGACACCTGGGTGCTGCGTACGGACGTTTTAAAAAAATATGCAACTTTTTTGGCGGGAAAGCGATCCCGAGAAACACACAAGCTAAAGGGCTGAGGCATGTAGGGAAATTCCCTGTGCATGTGCTAGCTAAAGATTTCAAATTCAGCCCCCAGGCATGCATGGTACTCACGTAAAGGTGTATGAAAGCTTCTGCGGGAAAATTACTAACTCGGCAACCAGAAAAGCTAGAAGGCTGAAATTTTGGGGAATGTCCCCTGTCCAGGTACAATTCAGATATTTTAAATTCAGCCTCAAGCTGTGCGTGGTACTCACGTAAGAGCGTATGAAAGTTTCTGCGGGAAAATTACTGACTCGAAAACCAGTAAAGTTAGAAAGCCGAAATTTTAGGGGAATGTTCCCTGTCTGTGCACAACTTAAGTACTTCAAATTCAGCTTTGAGGTATGCATAGTTCTTACGTACGGGAACTTAAAATTTTGGCTGAATATCTGACTAAGCAACTAGTTTACTTTTAAAGAACGACTGTTAAATGGGAATTGTACATTTACTTTATGCAAAATTTGTGGTGATTTATAATAATGACCACAAGAGATAGGTGTAAAGCAACAACCATTCATGCAGTTAATGTCCTGAGTACTTCAAGTCCAGTGCAAAAACGCATGATCGCATGGGCCCGCCGGTGCGTTCCAGCCTGGGTTTGCATCTATGCAATGCAGAAAACGCATACTGACGAGTTGTCTGCATGTGTATAGTAAATGTGGGACATG